ATTGAACTTACAATGAAAGCGCACAAACCCAAATTATTTATTTAATACGTTTTTTTAAACAATTGATTTAAAAATTAACCCTCTCTAGCAAACAATATAAATTATGTCATACACTTAAACCTATATAAACCGGTTTTACTTAAGGAGTAAATATTATTTTCGATGTTGAGAGATTACTTTTAGTGCTCAAGTCTTGTAAAACCTGTAGAGCCGCTGATGTCTTATTCCTCTAGACTCACTGATGTTCTATTCCCCCAGACTGGTGTTGCATTCGCCTAGACTGATGCTCTATTCCCTTAGATTGATGTTCTATTCCCCTAGACTGATGTTCTATTCCCTTAGACTGATGTTCTGTTCCCTTAGATCAGGGGGTCTCCAAACTACGGCCCGCGGGCCGGATGCGGCCCGCGAAGTCCTCTCGTCCAGCCCGCGGGGATCTTTTTGTCCAAGAAAAAATCGTTTGTTGGTGATGGTTGAGGAACTTTGCTCAGAAAAATCAAAGATGCCTGGAAGAAACAGGCTCCCGAACTGAAATTTGATAGTTAATGCGGCCCTCGGACTGAAAAGTTTGGAGACCCCTGCCTTAGACTGATGTTCTATTCCCTTAGATTGATGTTCTATTCCCTTAGACTGATGTTCTATTCCCCTAGGCTGATGTTCTATTCCCTTAGACTGATGTTCTACAGCCCCCTGATTCGACGTTAAATTCCTTTAAACTGATGTTCTATTCTCTCTAGACTGATAATCTACTCACCTAGACTTGAGTTGTATTCCCCTTGACTTATGTTGTATTCCCCTAGACTGATTTCGTATTCCCCTAAGCTGATGTCCTATTCCTCTAAACTGATGCCGTATTCCCCTATAATGATGTCGCGTATTCTCCTAGACGGATGTTTAATTCCCCTAGACCAGCACACTGATGTTGCATTCCCCTAGATTAATGATGTATTCCCCTAAATGTTATATTCCCCATGACTGATGTTGCATTCCCCTAGATTGATGTTTCATTCCCCTAGACTGATGTTCTATTCCCCTAGACAGATGTTGCATTCCCCTAGACTAATGATGTATTCCCTTAGATGTTCTATTCCCCATGACTGATGTTGCATTCCCCTAGCTAGACTAATGTTTCATATCCTAGACGGATGTTGTATTCCCCTAAACTTATGATATATTCCCCAAAAATGTAACACCAACCCCCACATAACTGTGTAGGCCTATTAGTTCCTCTAGCATAGGCCAGAGGAAAATTTTGTAAGAGAAAGACAGAAGTAAACGATCAACCCTTTACGCGTTTCATGTGTTTCCAACAGGAAATCAATTGTTTATCAGCCACATTGAGACAGGTGTGGTGACGGAGTGGGGCTGGGAGTTGGGGGGGGGGGGGGGGGGGGGGGAAATCATTGTTACTTGGGGGGGGGGGGATGACAGAATGTCGGCTAGAAATGATACGACTTTAAAGAAATGGATGTTCAAAAGAATTTTATTGAGACCGCTGTCATAAAACGTTAGTCTGATCTATTCTTTACGACAACAACCGACCAACCCAGAATGGTGAGGAAGAAAGGAAAGGGGGGGGGGGGGTAAAGTAGGCGCGGTGCAATTAGATCCTAATTATCAACAATTATTTTGTAACTTGCGGCGCCCGTGTTATTCAGACCTAGAGTTGATTTATCAACGAAGATGTTTGAATGTATTCGTACACATTTTGTGTCGGAACTCAACGTAAAACAAACCGCTAAAAAATTGTGAACGTTAACGTTTTATTTCTAATAATTTATACTCAAGAACATTACTTTTTATTATTATTTGATATATTCATGTTTAATAGTAATTATTTAAAAAAAAGGCAATACTAAGAAAAAATTGAAAGTTATAAATAAAAACAAATCTAATTCATTCAAAAAATAATTAACATCGGGCAAAATTAAATTCCATGGTTGAATTGGCCGATTTGATCTCATAGACTCACTGCTTTATTGAGCTTAGACCCATTGCCCGCCAGCAAAGCTCACAAGTCTGGACCAAAAAAAAAATTCAATTAAATAAAACGTTAACATTTACTAAAAACACTATTTTGATTTGACTTAGTTCTCTTTGCTCCTTATGGAACATAGGACCATGACCATTTCCTTCCATTTTATCTGATCCCCGGCTATTAATTTTGCAATCTCCCAAGACATCCATGTTGGCTTCAGTTCTTCGAGAGGACTCCGTGTCCGTCTTGGGCGCCCTCTCTTCCGCTTTCCTTAGGGGTCCACTCAAGCGCCTGGCTCACCCAAATGTGACACGCCAGACGCTTGAAAAATACTTTTTTAACAACCTTTAAACATTTAAACAATAGTTCACATACATGTTTGCACTTGATATCTATTCATGCAGGCCTAAGACAACAGCGTGATATTTTTTTTATTTAAAAAAAAAAGGAGTAGCAGCAAATAATGTAATCGTTCGACAAATCAAAATGAGATTTTAACAAACCTCGACTTTTTATACATCTATAACATGGAATAACTTAGTTTTCTTTATGTCTGTGTGTCTGTAAACAGGACAACTTGACAACCGTTCATATTAAGTCGCATGTTTCATCAAATTTGTTAATTTATAATTATTAGGGGAAATAACTTTTAAATGTGTTCTTAAAAGTCGCTTTGAATACAAATAAATTAAATATGCAACAGGAAATAAATAAATTAAACAATTTAATATTTTACAAAATTTGAAAACAAATTGTAACTTATTAATTTTCTACTTATTTAATTATTAGATTTTTTAAAATAAATTATTGAATTTTATTCTTAAATAAATTGCATTAGCTCTTATAGATACTTTATAAGAAGTTATTCGAATGTTCTCATCTAAACTGTGCTAGGATGTCACACAGTGCGAGGAGGAATATTTTTACATATTCCTGTACTTAATGTCTCATATTTCTAACAAACTCTATCTTCTTAATTTAATAAACAATGCGATTACATTTGTGCTGTGTTTCGTAAAAAAAATTGTTTTAAAAATATATGGCTTTTGCAAATAGTAATTATAAATTAATTATGTTTTAAATAAATCTCTGTACATCATATGCATTATACCCCCCCCCCCCCCGTCAATCTTCAAAATTGCCTATGTTAGTTTACAAATATATACCCCCCCTCTCCCAACCCATGAAACTCTTCTTTGTATTATTTGTACATTTAAGAATGAAATCTATAAAGATAACGAAAGAGTGTAAGTCCACCACGGTATGCGTAAGACGCATGATGAAATACAAATAATTAAACAGCGGTGACAAGAATTACACGATCTCAGACATAAAAAAACAACTGTTTCCTATACGGTGTAGGAGTAAAGCAGAGGCTAGTGTAATCGGAATAAATTGAAAATCAAGGTGTTGTCAATAATCGAAGCCTTTTACCTCCCTGAAATGTGAAACTTTTTTCGCGATAATGTCTGAATGTCCGTGTGTGTCTATGGAGACTACCTTGAGTACTGTTTAAGCTATGTTGACGAAATTCCATACAAACTCTTAAAGTATTATAATATAAAATATGTAGTTTTCTTTCAACTTTTTAACCATTTCCTGTAAAAGGAAGTGGTACGTACTCTACTTCCGGTTTCTCAAAAGCCGATACACTTGAGTACCGTTTAAGTTAGGTGGACGAAATTTTATACATAAGTATTAAATAGTATACGTGAGTTTCTATCAATCGATTTTTCTCTTTCTGGAAATTGTAGGCCTACTTTACCCAATTTCCGCGTGAACTGTGTAATTCGAACGCTTTTTCAGTTAGGTTAACGAAATTTAATACATAAGTATATCATGTTATTCTTATATTACTTACAACTTTTTATTGACTTCAAATATCGCGAAGTGGTATTTTACTCTCTTTAGAGTTTCTCAAATAATAGACACTTAAGAACCACTTAAGTAAGTTGGGTAAAATTTAATATATAGGTATTAGATTTGTATTATGCACATAATTTTAAGAAATTTTTAATGATTTCCGGCTATTTGAAATGTATTTTCTCAACAACAACAACAACAACAAAAAAAAAAAAAAAAAAAAAAAAAAACGACAATTAGATAGCATACTTTTTAAAGCAGTGTATTTTAAGAGATGACGTTTCGTCTCTGTGTTTTCTAGAAGAACGTGCGGTTTTGTCACCCACTTTTATATTTCTTTAGCTTGGTTGGCCTTGAAGTGTCATCCCAACACTTACTGTTATATAAGAATATTCGAGTAAATGTAGATAAGAACTGAAATGACTCAGAATTTAAAATTAAAATAATAACCAATACATACAACTGAAGTCTCTTTCTCTAAAAATTTATCACCAAAACACAAAAGATTAATTTTTTTTCTAGAAATTCTGCTCAAAGTTTCGATTTTTTTACACATGATAAAGTTGTGTTTGGTTAAATAAATATAGAAAAGACCGTGTTCTTTAGTATAAATACTTGATATTTCTTTTCAAAATTAAATTAAATTAAAAATAATAATCTCGATATTCGTAAAAAGTTGATTTATGATATAAACAGTGATTGATATAAATATTATTTTTTGAGTATAAATCTGCGTAGAAATGACTCCCGTTGTGTTAGTCATCACTACCTTGAACCAGAGGCGTAGAGAGGGGGGGAACTTATGTCCCCGGGCGCCGACCTTAGGGGGGGGGGGGCGCCAAATTGAAAGTTTGAGGGGGGTGCAAATGAAAAGTTCGAGGGGGGGGGGGGGTGCAAATCGAAAGTTTGTTCCCGGGCGCCGGGAGAGGTCGCTACGCCTCTGCCTTGAACACACTGCTAGAATATTTGAAAACTTGCTTAGATAAAGTATATTTTAGGTTTCTATTTTTTATCGATAAATCAAACAGGTAAGAACTTCATATAGTAATGTTAAAAGCCCACCGTAAACTAACACGAAAAAAATCCAACCCTTTCGACCATCATCAATCATGCTCATTCACGACCTATCACTTTTTCCCACTGACCTTGACCCCATCAGGTCACGTGTCTCTTTTTTCAGGGAAGACCCGCACGAAGGACAAGTACCGGGTCGTGTACACGGACCACCAGAGGTTGGAACTGGAGAAGGAGTTCCACTTCAGCAAGTACATCACCATCAGGAGAAAGGCGGAGATCGCTTCACAGCTGGGCTTGTCTGAGAGACAGGTGGGGTTTTTTTAAAGTTTGTGTGTGGGTGGTGTGTGGGTGGTGTGTTGGGTGGTGTGGGGGGTGGTTGTTCCACTTCAGCAAATACATCACCATCAGGTGAAAGGCGGAGATCGCTTCACAGCTGGGCTTGTCTGAGAGACAGGTGGGGTTTTTTAAAGTTTGTGTGTGGGTGGTGTGTGGGTGGTGTGTTGGGTGGTGTGGGGGGTGGTTGTTCCACTTCAGCAAATACATCACCATCAGGAGAAAGGCGGAGATCGCTTCACAGCTGGGCTTGTCTGAGAGACAGGTGGGATTTTTTAAAGTTTGTGTGTGGGTGGTGTGTGTGTGGTGTGAGTGGTGTGTGGGTGGTGTGTGGGTGGTGTGTGTGGTGGTTGTTCCACTTCAGCAAATACATCACCATCAGGAGAAAGGCGGAGATCGCTTCTCAGCTGGGCTTGTCTGAGAGAGGTAGGATTTTGTGGGTATTGTGTGGGGTGGTGTGTGGGATAGTCTGTGGGTGGTGTGTGATTGCGTGTTGGTGGTGTGTAGGATAGTGTGTGGGATGGTGTGTTGGTGGTGTGTGGGATATTATGTGATGGTGAATGGGGAAGGTGTGTGGCGTGGTGTGTCATCGCGTGTGGTGTAATGTGTTGTGCTGTTATATGGTGGTTGTACCACTTTAGCAAGTGCATCACCATCATGAGAAAGGCGTTTATCCACTTTTCGTCCACCCCCCGCTTTTCAAAAATTGTTTTGGATTCTATCTTTAGTATAGAACCCTACTTCTATTCATATCAGTCTATCAAAACAATACTTATTCGGTGAAACTAAAACCACACAGGTAGTGGCGATGAAATAAGCTTTAAATCTTTATTTTAATCAGCAGTGCTTTAACGCAACTTTTTTAGGGAAACATTTTGTCTGATCTTAAATTATAAACAAACGGTTCGCCCATTCATAATACACTAATTCATTTATTTCTACGAGTTTGTTTCCGTTAATATAACTATAAAAAAAACCACATTAATAAAAACTAAAGCATTAACAAATATCTGCCAGATTTTCTACTTTTTACCTTTAAAACATAATTTTGGATTTGTCATACAATTCTATTTTAAATTGAAACACTTTAACTGTAATCAAATAATGTTAAAATACATGCGAATATTCACTGTTGACAGTATAACGACATTGTCAGCTAATTGTTTTTGGATAAAATACAATTTGTTTGAAAACGTCAATCTGTTGACACTATCTGCACACGTGACAATAGAATTTGTACGAATAAATCAGGTTGAGGCGGGGTTTGTGGGGAATTTTATAATTGCTGCTGTAACAAAATGTTTGGGAAAAATTTTCTGGGAAAAACATGATTTTAACAATTAGTTTTCTCTAATTCTAGTTCCTACAATACTATAACTAAGGAATACTAATTAGGGATTTTACTATAGTTAGGAATATTAATTAGGTATTTTTGTGGTTACCGTAATATATATATAAGTACGGACCCAAACAATTCTAGTTACTACAATACTACATTTAAAGACAGTTAATAAAGTATAATGATAGTTAACCTAGTACATAGAAATAAAATTAAGGACGCAGAACAACTGTAATCCATCAAATAAAATTTAGACCCCTTACAATTCCAGTTTCTTTGAGGCAGGATGATAAAATTAAGGACTTGCATATTTTATATTTACTGCAATACAAAAAGTAACATTGGGGACTGCATCAATTAAATTATTTCATTCTCGTATAACTTATACATAGGGTTTGTCGTATACTATGGCATATCAGAGCTGTTATTTTTCTCCTATAAACGGGCACTTAACTCTCGTCTTTTCTTCTCCAGGTAAAAATCTGGTTCCAAAACCGTCGGGCGAAGGAAAGGAAACAGAACAAGAAGCGCCAAGAGCAGACGGACCTTCAAGGTCACAGCAACCCGGGCAGCGCGCACCACCTGGAGCCCCACCACATGGAGCCCCACCACCAGCTCCTCCACGACGGCCACCCTTTCCCCAAGGCTGAGAAAGAGGACGACTTCTCCATCAAGCACGAGCTCCCGTGTCACAGCTCCGCCCTCACGTCCTTGACCCCGCCCGGCCCCCTCCTCCACGCCGGTCTCCACAACCCGCCGGTGATGCCCCCCGGGGTGGGGCGCAGCAGCCACGCGTCCCTGGCCCGGTACCACGAGGGCATGAGGAGCTCGCCGGCCTCCACGGCGGAGGACATCGCTTACCGGATGACCAACGGCACCGATTCTGCCGGCAACAGCATGAACTTGTCCGGTTCTTCAGACAGCGGCGTCCTCTCCTCCCATTGACAATGACCATGGCTCGAGACATTCTCCGGTTCTTCAGACTGCGGCTTCATCTCCTACAATAGCTCGAGACATTCTCCGGTTCTTCAGACTGCGGCTTCATCTCCTACAATACCTCGAGACATTCTCCGGTTCTTCTAACTGCGGCGTCCATCCTACCATAGCTCGAGACATTCTCCGGTTCTACTGATTGCGGCTTCATCTCCTACAATAGCTCGAGACATTCCCCATGCTGTTCTTATAAACACTACTCATGTCCGAGTTGAAACAATTGGATTTAAGACGAACATTGCTCAGACGTTCCCCCATTTCCACATATTATAAACACCGCTCACGTCCGAATTAGTAAATAAAAATTGGATCTAAGATGAACATTCTTACGAAACATTCCTCATGATCTTCATATAAACATCAATCAAGTCCGAGTTAGTAAAAAAGTTGGATTCAAGATGAAATTGTTACGAAACATTCCTCCATGCTCTACAACTACAACACAACCAAGCGATAATAAAACATCAGGATTGAAGATGAAATTGATGGTGACAATTGTTCGAAACTATTTGCCGCCATCCAAATAATTAGGCGTGATTATAGACAGGTGAAATTGTGAGGTGATTCATGAGGCATCGCCACACAACAAGGGCTGTTTTAAATTAATTAACAGCCTGCGAAAATTAATTAACCCGGAACTAATTGTATATAAATCAATACTTGGACCAGAGACATATAACCCCTGACTTTATAAATAAACTGCAATATGTTTCGGTCGAGTGTCTTCGTTTGATATGGAAAAATATCATTTGACATATCGTCACCCTAAATGTTGCAGATTTAATTATGATTTAATGCTTGGGCAATCAGTATCTACATTCAACGTATCCATTTAACGTCACGGTTGTAAGCAATATAAGGCCATATTTTCTTGGTCTTTTTTTGTGAATAAAATGTTGATTTTAAAAATGAGAATGTAGTGCGTGTGTTGATATGTATGTATGAAATTTATGTGCGCAAATTGTTCAAATAATGCATTATACGATAATTGATTTTTTTTCGCTCTTTCCTAAATATAATATGCGCATTGCTTATGTTATCCAAAAATGTTTGTTTCGGTCAATGCATGCCTCCACTTCAATTTTGTTTTCCATATACCTAAATGCTTAATTGTAAATACGATTGTACATAGAAGTGTATACATACTTGTGGATGAAGTGTAAAGAAAATTGAAGATTGTTTTGTTGTTTATTTATTAATTTCCTTTACTAATACGAGAAACTAATCCAGCTGAAGTTTAAAATTGTCCTCATTTATTTGAACTGCTCAATATAATTTCAGCTTTGCTACATTGTAGTACTAATCTAAGACAATATAATGTAAAGGTTGTGGTACAGTTATCATTCAGTTGTATAATGGTGCTATAGCTCTGCTGTAGTAATGGTACCAAACCTGTATAGTTATAGTAATTTTATTAAAGTGCAGTATTGGCACTGTTATCGTTTACATCAAATTATTATTTTACCAGCTTTATTCTCCATTAATATGAATGTCATAAGGGCATAGACTAATTTTTGCAAAATTAATCATTCGTAAGACATACATGCTTATGAGAATACATATATATTTTGACCATTTTGTAATAAACAAAAATTATATTGCCAAAAGACAAAACAATAAAAAATAAAGAAAAAAATCTGGTTTGAATGTTTATTTTGTTACACTTATTACAATAATTCTAAGAGCTTTCTTGATAGCAAATTCATGAAAAAAATATAAATATAATATGAAGCTGAGAAAATTCAGTAGAATGGGAAAAAAAACAGAAAACAAACTAAACGTTTGCAACGCTATTCAATGCAGTAATATTACATATTGATTATCTTGCTGTAACTGTAAAGCTAAAGGCATGAAACCAAGTATTCCACTGGATGAAAGGGAAGCAGATGTTGCAAAAAAAAGCCACCTAAGCGTAACCTGTAGAAAACATTTCAAATTCAATAACTTTATCAGACAATAAAATGTTTAAAAGTTAGAACAAAAAAAAAACACTATGCTTTCTAAACGTCTATCGCACGATAGATGGTAGCAATGCTACCGATATTGGCTGAGATGAAAGTCTTTTAATTTCACAAAGCGGGAACATCTTTGAAATTGTAGAAGGACTGCCTTATCTTTAGATAATTGCAAAAAAAAAAAAAAATTACTTTCTTAGTTTCAGGACTTATAGGATGCATACGATTGTAGGAAAAATGGGTTGGGGGATTGAATCATCAAAACAGGGAGACTAATCTTGAGCTAGAGTAATTAAAACAAAAGCTAGAACTAGGTCAAGATGGCGGCGCCTTAAATCAAGATGGCAGCAGGCAGGGGGGGGACACACCTAATGAACGTGTCACGTGTTGACCGTCGTGTTTACCTCCGTCGTGGCGTGTTTGAACAGCGGACGCCCGAGAGTGCTCTCATCCAAGCTGGGGTGGCCGAGGTTTTATGGCTTAACGACCAGCGCATGGCCCCGGCCATCCAGCCAGAGCTGAGCAGAGCGGTTCTTATCTGCGGTTTATGGCCCGCGATCCGCAAACCTCCACGTCGATAGCAGGCTTTTGTTTTATGGTCACAATGTTAACCCCCCCCCCCCCCCCCACCCCACACCCTACTTCTCTATCCCCTCCTCTCATCCCATTGTTTAATATCATTGGGATTTCGGATCTAGTACTCATAGAAAGAGTCCGCATCAAAAAGCGGAAATGACTTTTTGAAAAAGTAGTTCAGGTGGGGAGTGGAGTCTTAGACCGGAAGTGCTGTTTTGATGGAGTCATCAGATAGATATTTTGTATTCAATGAGTACACCGAACCCATGTGATATTTGGGAACAGCGTTAAATAGACTCAACTGGGTATTGAAATCAACATTTAACCTGTTGTATATTGCCGGTTAAATACGTGGAGTATTGAAAACAGCGTTGAAATCATGTGTATGAAAACAGCCTCAAACCCCAACGTGTATTACAAAAAGCGCGCAAGACTCATTGGGAATTGCAGACAGCGTTAAACATATCATTTATTGCAAACAGCGTTAAACATATCATTTATTGCAAACAGCGTTAAACATATCATTTATTGCAAACAGCGTTAAACATATCATTTATTGCAAACAGCGTTAAACATATCATTTATTGCAAACAGCGTTAAACATATCGTTTATTGCAAACAGCGTTAAACATATCATTTATTGCAAACAGCGTTAAACATATCATTTATTGCAAACAGCGTTTAAACTATCATTTATTGCAAACAGCGTTAAACATATAATTTATTGCAAACAGCGCTAAACATATCATTTATTGCAAACAGCGCTAAACCTATCATTTATTGAAAACAGCGTTAAACATATCATTTATTGCAAACAGCGTTCAACATATCAATTATTGCAAACAGCGTTAATTAAACCTATCATTTATTGCAAACAGCGGTAAACATATCATTTATTGCAAACAGCGCTAAACATATCAATTATTGCAAACAGCGCTAAACATATCATTTATTGCAAACAGCGCTAAACATATCAATTATTGCAAACAGCGGTAAACATATCATTTATTGCAAACAGCGGTAAACATATCATTTATTGCAAACAGCGTTATAACATATCAATTATTGCAAACAGCGTTAATTAAACCTGTCATTTATTGCAAACAGCGCTAAACATCAATTATTGCAGCGCTAAACATATCATTTATTGCAAATATCGTTATAACATATCATTTCTTGCAAACAGCGTTCAACATGTCATTTATTGCAAACAGCGCTAAACATATCATTTATTGCAAACAGCGCTAAACATATCATTTATTGCAAACAGCGGTAAACATATCATTTATTGCAAACAACGGTAAACATATCATTTATTGCAAACAGCGGTAAACCCATCGATGTTGCAAATAGCGTTAAACCTTAAACCCATCGGTATTGCAAACCTCGTGTTATTTGGACAGCGTTAAACCCGTCGGTTTTTTTTTGTACAGCGGTTAATTTTCGATTATATCAAAACACCGGTTTAGATAATTATACAATAATGGTCAATTTTGCCCAGTATCGGTGGGTTTCTACATCACCACCAGATGGATTTTACGCAGAAGGAGTCAGCACAGGAGTGGAGTCAACGTAGGACTCGAGTTTATAGAGGATTTTTGCTACGGCAGAATAGATTAGACTGACTAGTGGAGTCTGGGGAATAAGTGTAGACTGCGACACATTAGCTCGAGTTTTCAATTGAATTTATGCCTGACTTTAGAGCAAACATTGCTGCATGCCCCTTTGACAATTTACAATATACCAAGATTGTCACGATTTGTTTTGCTGAGAGTTGAATGAAGAATAATCTAATGTTAAAACTATGCTACATTTAATCTGTACGGATACCGGCACTCTAGTTTTGCATTTTAATTTTGATTGTTAATATTTTAGCAGTGTAATTTGTATTGAGACATAACTCTTAATTTTTTTAATTAAAGTTTTTTTTTCAATTTCGGTGACTATAATCTATATTGATTACTTATTGCAGTAGTGTTATACATGTCAATCGTTGAGTTTGTATTTTAGCTGATTTGAAATGGAAAGATGTGTAAGTACTAATCTGTATTCAACATAATTAGCTTTTAATTAAAATAATTTTACTTTTGTAAATTGGAATTGATGACACAATTGAGTAACTGATTACAGTTCAAAAATAAACTCTTTGACAAACGGAGCTTTAACTACAGGTGCTTTGACCACATATGTAATTTTACTCTTGTCTATTTATATTATTATATGTTTAAATAAATCAGCTAATTATCACTTTCTAGAAAAATAAAGTAATAGCTAAAAATCGCTAAGCTTTATTAAATAAATAAATTAATAAGTCAGATATTTTGATGAACTATTTAAGAACACATCAAGGATCAAAAAGATCTATAGCCTGTAGCGCGTATCTTTCTCAGAATTCCAGGCAAGGTTCAAAATTAACATTAGAAACTACACAAAATGTAAAAATAAAAAGAAATAACATTTGTTTCTGTTTTGAAAATGACAAGTCGTAGATAAGTGACGTGAAAAAAATATGTATCCACACAAATTTGTAAACATCATATTAAAGTATGTTTAAAGAATTACTTTAAATTTGTAATCGTGTATAGTAAATGCAGCTACATACATAGTTAGAGAAGTATTAGTGTAGTTATAGTACCCCGTACATAATTTCTTATTATTGCTAAACAAATTATAAAACTAATTAACACTAATTTCTAAAGTCTAAAAACAAACTTTAATAATCCGGCTACTTTACGGATTTGTTACGTACTTTTCTTTTCTGTTACTAAATACTGTAAATTGTTAGCTTTTAGCGACTGTTATTCTTTTGCTATTTTAAGTATTGTTAATTATTTTGCCGGTTGTCAATTTTAATTTTTTCTACCATTTACTGCATATCTTTCGCCACACTAAACTGCTATTACTTTCTTATAATTATTGTCATTTTTTTTTTACTCATCACTGTAATTTATTCTCTACAAGTTACTCTCATTCTTTCACTACACATTAAAAATTTTCTTTTCCTAAATTGCGAAAATGAATTTCCAGCGAATAAAAACATTAAACTAAGTATATTTTTATATTAATTAATTTCTTTCCTATAAATATATATTTTTTTATTTTATCAATAATCAGCTTTTTTATATTAACTAAATTTTCATTAATTTTTTTTTAAATTATACAGAAACAAGGTCCTTTAAATTAAAATCCTAACAAATTACATTTTAAGGCTGCACTTATTCTTTTGTTAAAACTGAAAACTATCAACAGAGGTAAAATATTGTAATTACATATTTCATGAAAATAAGTTAGTAAAGTTTCCTTTTCAAACCTGACCATCCTTGGGATAGGTGTAGTAGAGTTCACCTGTTACCACGGCACAGAGGTGGATTGGCCAGCCGGTCTACCGGGAAAAAATCCAGTTTGACCCTAAGAAAAAACAAACCTCGATGGGCCTCAGAAAAGATGATGTAGAAATCTTATTAGTTTTTTATTTTTTAATTTGTTGTTATTTCTCCATTTTTACCTTTTTATTTCCTCATTCAAAGGTGTAAAATTCAGTGTTTGATGATGGAAAAATCTCAAATTGAAATTTTTAATGTGTGATTGGGGACACTTTTTAAGATTTTTAAAGCCCCCCGCCCCCCCCCCCCCCTCCAACCACAGATTAAAATTACCCGGTCCTCTTGAACCCACCCAGTCCATCCCTGCCTTGGCATGTGAAGGAACAGTGTGGTCAGCCAACTTAACTTTCACTAAATTGCTATCTCATAGCAGCATGATATTTGACTGAATCGTTGATACAAACAGAGATTAACGCCGGTTTGTTTAAGGAACGAAATCAGAAAAAAATCCATGATTTATTTCAAAGAGGAGACTTTTTAAAAATTCGAATCACTGAATAATCCTAACAATAATTTTAGAAATTTGTTACAGAATTATAAATTAATTCTAAAATCTGTAGGTGATATTCTTCACACATTAAGGTAATATTCTACGCAAAATAATCATGAGAGCGTCAGCACATAATTATTACAACAATAGATAGTCTTTAGGCGATCTTCAACAGCATTAGAAAACTTCAACA